TGGTTTGGTTTGGTTTGGTTTGGTTTGGTTTGGTTTGGTTTGGTTTGAGATAGGGTCTTGCTGTGTAGCCCAGGCTGGAATTGAACTCATTATTCTCCTGTTCCCTACCTTTGCCTCTCGGGTGCTGAGATTATGGGCATGTGCCACACTGTTCCTGTCAAAGATACATACCTACTTAAGAGGCAATGAATTATTTGCTCAGTCTTATAAAGAGCTGACCCATGACAGGTACTCATTAGAACTTATAACTTGAATGATCAGTATCAGTCTGCTGCTGACAGCATTGAAATGAAAAGGTGTGATTAGGAAATCCAGAGATAAATGGCAGAATGTTGGGAATGTTTTTATTATCTTCCCCCGGGTATTATGGCATTTTCCCATGTTCCTGTCGAGGTATTTTAGTGTAGAAATGAACCTCCGTTCTCTTGTTTAGTGTTTGACTTCATGGTGCCCACGTGGGAGCAGCGGCAGTTCTTGATTAGACTTGTTTTCTCCTGAGACGTCTTAGTGGTAGAATTCTAGGGAGACGATGGTGCCTCTGGTGGCATCTGAAGGTTATATGGATTCGAATAGGCTTGGGTTTGCTAGTGAATTTCTCACAATTTTTGTTTCCTTGAGGATTTGTCGTCTCAGATATACCACAGTATGTACAGGCAGGTCTTGATCTAATGTTCTTGCTGACATGAGCTGCATAGATATTTTCCCAGCTCATTTGGTGTACAGCCAGGCGCAGCATGGCAGGAGGCAGGAACACTATGTGTGTTCCGTCTGTCTGTTGCTTTGCATTAATCCGAGGTGAGTATTTGGAATGAAGAAAGAATTGTAAGGAATCTGGGACAACATTCTGCTTTTCCTAAGTCGTGTTCGATGTTCACTTTGGTCTCTTACTTATAGTATTAAAAATTCTTAACCACATCATCCCTCAAACTCACGTTCAAATACAAGTACCAAAACGTATCCTAAAACCAAATATAAATATGTTTTAGGAGGCTGCCATCTTATAAGATTCAAATCACTATTTTCCTCAGTGATGCAAGGAAGCTTTGCACATTTCTCACACACTTTAAAACAAAATCTAAATCATAAAACCCAATAAATGGGTGAGAAAGAGAGGAAGGAAGGCAGAAAGAGAGGTCTGTGGTGGTTTCTTTGGTGACCTGATTTTCTGAGTGGCTTCATTTTTTGGGACTGTGGAAATGTGTGTCTGACAGAGAACCAGCTTCTCTAATTCCTCTACATCTTAGCAGTTGATGTCCTTATACATTTCTTAGATGATTTTCATATTTTTATTTAAACTTCAACCTGACAATAGCATACAGTCTTTCACAGGAGCTGATTGTGTATTTGATTGACAGTGTTATAGAACAGGGAGGATAAATCTTTCAGGGCTAGGAGTATAGCTAAGTGGTGAGTGATACCTGCCATGTGCAAGGCCCTGGGTTTAATTCCCTGCCCAGAAATAAGAGAAAGTATGTATTTCAAGAGCAGGGGAGCAAAACAAAACAAAGGGTTGAGCGCTGCCTGCTCTTCCAGAGGACCTGGGTTCATTTAATTCCTGGCGTCCAGCGATGGCTCATAGCTGTCTATAACTCTGTCTCCAGGGGATGTGATGCTCTCTTCCAGCTGTCATGTGCACAGGCGTGCGAGTGGTATGTAGACATACATGCAAGCAAACACCATTCCTTGTTTTTAGAAAAGTAGGAGAGGGAGAATAATTTTTTTTTAATCCTTTAATTTTTTTTCTGAGATCCTTATAACAAAAGAAAATAAATTTGTTAATATATATACATGAAGTTACCTGGGGAGAAATGGTTGAGACCATAAGCTTATATAACCTCTTCTAACAACAAAGGATTGGTAGCAGTAGAAAAGTTGCAAATACAGCAAATAGGAACAGACAGAATCAGCCATTGAGTGAGGAAACACACACGTACAGCAGGTAGACAGAGAGACTTTCCACAAAGCAAACAGGTTCTTCTTGAGGGCTGGGAGCTTCTAAGTCTTTGAAAGGTCATCTTCCCATACTCTAAGGTTGGTCAATTTGAAGAAAGCTAGGATGGCTGATTGGCCTGCAACTTGTGTAAACTTGTCCTGATCTGGCCGTGGTTTCCTTGAGTCAGCCATTAGCACAGGGCGTATTGGCAGGAGAAAAGCCCACAAGGCCTTTGTTTCACACTGCCAGGCTTTTATCTCAGGTCTAGAGGATGAGGAAGATGCCATCTTTGAAGTTCACCATCTTTATTACCTAGTCATGGACCCCTCTACCTTTCTGCCTGCCTACCAGGGAGTCTGTCCACCTCCTAGTTTCTCAGTATCTACCTTCCCATGTCTTCTGAGTGACTGGTACTGGGAAGATAAGCACCCAAACTGCCATTAGTTTTGTTATTAGATCCAAGATGCTTTCTCACCACTCAAAGACCAATATTTAGTTAAGAGTTGACAGGAAGGAAATGATTTCATTCAAACACCCTGAAAAGGTGAGGAGGAATATTTGTCCCTTAAAAAAGGCCGTCTCGGAGAACTCAGGACTGCAAATGGGCTCTTGGAGGAAAAGAAGAAGTGAACAAGAAGGTCAGGCACTGGGCATGGCCTTCTTCCTCTTCATCACCCTCAGCATGACTCTGTTTTTTTTCTTGGCCAGTACATTACAATCCACCTCAGTCTCCTAAGGCTAGTTCCTGTAATTCCTTAGATGAACTTATTATCTTTCTGCAACTTAAACTTCACAGCAGTGTGCATGCTTTGCGCAGCAGATACACGGGCTTAACAAATAAGGAGGGACAGGACATATTGTAGCTACCTGGTGGTCTCTAATTGCTCTGTCCGGTAAATCACAAGAAATATCAGCAGTTCACAACTCCGTCATTCGGATGTGGCTTCTCTAGAACTTAAGGAGGGGAAGTCAGGTCTCCATGGAAAGGGGCAGCTACTGTTACCGTTTGGAGAGCATGGATGAAGTCGCTGGAGAAGCTTCTGTGACACTGACATATTTTTATAATTAGGGTAATCTCTTCTCATCTTCCTTCCTCCCTCGTCTTAATTTTACTGGAATTTTGAGGAGCTCCATTCAGGCTGTGACCTGTTACTAGAAATTGAAATGCCTTCTTAGAGTTCTTAGTCTTACTAATAAAAGAATTTAAGAATGGCTT